CACCATGCTTAAGAGTTGCATCAAACTACTAAGAGTTCCACATAGGTATGGTTTCTGTTTATTTAGGATAGAGCGTGCACCGCTCTCTCCCCAGTGGGACCCATCCTGCTTACCTAGCACTAATACCAAGAAACCATGTCAAAATATGTAGAGTTTAGGTGCAGGTTAGGAAAACCCTACATTTCAGGACCCCAGGTAGTGCATTGGGGTGCTACTAGAATCTAACCAGCAAAAACTGCACAGCTCATCATTGCAAACAATGGTGAGCTTTCTGCTGTTTGTCTCGCTAGAACCACTACTCGTTAGGGCTTTGATTTGCAAGGTCAATAGGCACCAAGTGGGAAGAATCCCAGCCCCCCATGACTGGTTTGCTCATAAGCCAGGCTGGTTGGTCCTTCAGCAACAGTGATTTGGAGTACTATGAGCCTGCCTGGCTCAAGTATCAGATGACCAAGACTGCCACAGAGATTCGCTTGATTCCTGTCTTCAATTGCCAGATGTGTCAACTTGTAGCCAACTAATCCTGCTCCTCCCCCCCCCATTATCACAAGTTGGTCATTAGATATTTGACAAGCCAAAAGTTTGAGCCCTCATTAAATGGATACCAAGCACTCTGTGAGCTACATTGTAAGTAGCAAAACTCAGGATAAAATACATTTGAGTATTACCACCATCCTCCTGCTCACAGTCTGGACACACCTCACTACCCACTAAGTGGTGGTTCTACCAGATGGTGGTGCAGAGCTTCAACACAAACTGCTTACCTTTGTGCACACTAATCAAGGTCGGCACCAAGCCTGGATAGAGGGACATCACTGTAAGATGTCCAAGGGATAAATTAATTGATTCAGAATGAGAGAGAGAGAACATGTTAACTACTCTATTTGAGTCAATACAGACTGATAGTTCTGCGAAATGAACAGTTCAGCAGTGCTTATATATTGGTGCTAGACATAGGAGAGACACCAGTCACAAGCAATTAAATCTTTACAATCTGGCAGAAGTTGCCTTAGTTTGTAGGAATGCTTGTTAGATATCTAACTTGTTTTGTAATGGCTAGATTGTTATGTGTAAATTATTCTTGTTCATTGTAGAATTGTTGTTCATTGTAAAAATTTGATCTGCCACATTTCTTTTGCATTGTTATTTTCTGGAGCAAAAGAAATTAAGAATAGCTAAAGCCATGAGGGACACGTTTGTATACTCTGTTAGAAAAGCTAACAGATGAAATTGTTTCTCGCAATTTGCTGTGTAGACAATGCTACACCAAGACTGGAGTGAATTCTTCAATTTTTTGTTCCTCTCTCCCACAACATTTATTTTGACAAAAGTTGTCATAAACTAGGGCTGGTGTGCTATGACAGTTAAGGCGTTAATGTCAAACTATGTGAAATGATACCCATGGGAGAACCAGGTGGGGTTGCAGTTCTGCTGACAGTGGAGTAGAGATTGTTTGTCGCCTGTCTCAACATTTCAGTTTGAAGAGGTGAATCAAGAAAGCAATTGGAAGTGCAGTGATGGAAAAAAATTAAACTTACTTTGTTTTGAGGTCTATATTTCTCAATTCACCAGTTAGTCACTTATATGAAAAAACACTGTTCAAGATCTGATATTCTTAGCAATGTTTGGATTACATTAGAAATTTAATTTTCAAAATTCCAATACTTTAGTTTACAGCATCTTTTGTTCAGTGCCCTAACAGACCATAGCTTTCATTGCAGATGCAGAAATAGGCAGAACTAAATGCAGTAAATACTCAGTAATCTTAAAATCCATAGATATGATATTTACATCTCTGTATTGCACTAGAACAGATGTTTATTTTAATGAACATTAAATTTGTTTGACCTGTGCTGTAGTTTTTAATTCAAAGTGCAATGATATGAGGCTTGTGATTCATTCTATGTATGTTTAGGACATATTTCTAATTTTTCAAATTAAGTATAGAGAACGAAGCCATTTTCTTGTCATGGTCATACAACTTCTAATTCTTAAATAACTGGATCTGTTTTTTCCAGTACTTATGGAAATACAGTGTATAATGACTCACTTCCATTTATCAACAAATAACCTTATGGCAGTTAACAATTGCAGAGGATTCATTCAGGATAATGCCATGGAAACTGAAGAACTTTCCATCTGAGCATGTTTAGCCCAGCATTATCTAAAATGAAACACTTAGATGAAAATTGCGTGATACTTTCCTAATTTACATTATAACAATAACTTAAGTTGTCATACCAAGAAGTCAGCAATATTTATTTGTAGCGCCTTGGGATGTCCTCCTGACGTGAAAGCCGCTATACAAATGTAATTTGTCGTTGTTGATGTTTTTTTTACAGCTCTACTATTTTTAATACAAAACCATTCATAAGGTTGTTCTCAATTTTATTTAATTTTGGATAGCATTAGTACATAAGCAGTCCTGTATTTGGTTTTGAACAGCATTTTGTTTCTTCATTGGTTCAACTATACAGTTTATATTCAGATCTGGTCAAAGTAAACTTACTTGGTACTGAGTGTTGACTGATCGCTCTCTTTGGCACAGGAATGGCAATGGAGAGAGTCCTCCTATATTGTTTGAGCTCAGGCAGGGAGTTCTGATACCTGCAAAGGACAAGAAAAGGATGTGGCTCAAACCGTAGCAGAAACTGATTGAATAGTAATAATGGCCTTCTCCTGTACTGTACAGGGGAATTGAGAATAGCGGGTCGATTGAAGGACTTGACCTCTGTTCTTGTCCTTCGGTTTGACCTGCCTGTCCTCAATTCCCTGGTAGAGTACCAGTGGTCATCCATTATTAATTAAGTAAAATGACAGCTGATTGAAAGAGGTGCCCAGGGAACACACTATTTTCCTTGTCTCTAAACACAATATTTTAAAGTCAGAAAACTGCCAACCCTCCTGGTACAATCGGGCTAAACAAGAATGTGTTGTACTTCATCTCAAACTCAATACAGAAAACTACAGCTTCTTCAGTGCTTTGCTTCAACTAATCTCGAATGAAGGGATAGATTGAAGGGACACCGAACCCCACAAAAATATCTAAGAACTGTTTGTGGGGATCCTGGTTCTACATGTGTGTAGGAAAGTAGTATAATTATTTTCATTCTTTTGTTGTTACCAGTATTTGTTGACAAAATGTGAGCTAATTTTAGAATTAATAAGTTACTAATGTGGTGATTTTGGAAACTGCCCCATGCAATCTCAGGCCTTATATGTGTTGCAGATTCAGTTTCTTTTATCATGTATGGGACCCTGTTATCTAACAACTTAATTGTTTGTACTATTGAAATGTCATTGCTACACAGCCCTATACATTTTCAATCATATATGCATAACACTCAATTTTACACTGTGAAATCACACATGTTACTGCAAATGTTGAATAATGAAAAGTCAAAAAATATTGAAAGGAAGATTATATTTATGCAAATTCTGAAACTGTTTATACAATATTGCCATACTGAATTACTCGTATGATCAGTTCCGACAAAATATTTGAAATGTTATGGATTTCTACATGTAGGAAAAGAAACCTTTCAAATATTCTGGTCATTATTTTGCTCATGATTGAGCCCACTTCAAGTATGGGAACTGTTTGCGTAAGGATATGTGATAACCATTTTCATCATCCTTGCTGAAATACTTGGCTTTGGGATGTTTTTTTTGAGCGTTAGCAGGAATCTGTGAGGAATTGAAATATTTTTTCTATTCTAGTCACAGAGATTCAGTTACTGTTATAACATGATATCGATTAAATGTCACTCTCGAGCATTAAATATTTATAGAACATAGGTGTACCATTTTTCCATTCAAATAGAATATTATTTTGAAATATTCTACTTTCATCTAGTAGTTCCAAAGATGTTTCGGTCTATATTGCAATTAAAAAAAAGTTTTTATATAATACTGTATTTGCAAGACTTGATATTTTATTTAATTCCATTTTAATATTGCTTGCCACGTTAAAGTGATCAACATTGCAGGCATACCGTAGGTTTGAAAATGGCGTAAAACCGTAACAATGAGTTATAAGCGCTCTGGGAGTCTCCCCTTGGTGAAGGGCGCCATATAAATGCAAGTTGTTGTTGTTATTGCTGCCCTGCTCACACAACTCTGTCCCAGTAAATAATAATAATAATCCTTGTGCAATTGTGAGATATGTAATTGGGCTCCACACAACCTAGGCCTAATTAGCCATTGAGAGGTGGACTGTACCATTAGAGTCAATCATTTGGTAGGTTACCTTAGAGTGCCAAAAAGCAACGTTCAACTAAAGTCATATCTGCAAATTGCTTCTCTGGAATCGATTCCTGGGCAGCCTTCTCCTGGAGTTGACTCTAAGTGTCGGTTGTCTGTTACAGGAGCTCATCATCTCCTCCTCCAACACATGACAATGGCAGAGCAGGAGCTTAATAATAATAATAATAATAATCCTTGCATTTGATATAGCCCCTTATCACATCTTTAAGACGTCTCAAAGCACTTCACAGAATATACTGTAAAGTATATTGACTATATTTTGTGGGCAAAATATTATTATTATTACCTGATCAAAGCGGAATTTACATTCCATTGGCATCTGACTGCTAGTCTGCTAGTGAAATGTTTATTATTAGTATGTAAAATTGCTCAGTTGAGTCTTTATAAATATTAGTAACATGAAGGCAGTTCAGAAAATAGATCAACCTGGACATTTTTAAATCTTAATTTTAAGTTCTGAAAAGTTTGCTTGTCACCTTGACAGCTATACTTCAAGTGAGAGGAGACTATTGTATCTCACTATTCATTTCCTTAAACTGTATTATAAAGTACTAGAAATTCTTCATCAGTGTAATGCTGTTTTTCTGTAATAGTTACTCTGAAGTAGAGTTACACCTGTAATGCGTGACTTTTTATTGCATTTAAATCATGTTTCTTGAAAATCTATTTTTCACAGAATCTCTGTGCATTGTGGGATAAAATCACTTATAATTGTTTTGCTTATTTCTCCACAGTCTCTGGATGGATTTTTATTTGCACTAAATCGAGAAGGAAAATTTTTATACATCTCAGAAACAGTCTCCATCTATCTGGGCCTTTCACAGGTTAGTGAGTTTGATTTTGCAGACTTTTGTGGTGATGTATATTATTACAGGATTTCTACCATGAAGATCTCAACATGACCATTGCAATGCAACATCTGACAAGGCTATTTGATGCTTAACACAGCCAACAAGGGCCAGGCTTTGTATAATTCCATCTCTGTGGAAGTAAGTGGCTGTAATTAAATAGTACATTGTGAATGGGGGTTGGAGGGGAAGATCCAAATTGAAATACTGAAAGTGCTGACATTTCTTCCACTCCTGGACACATTATATCAAACAGGTCTAAGCAACTGGCTTATGAATTCTATACATTTCCATTTTAAAGAAGCTTGTCAGACAATGTTATCAATGCCAAGCTATAAGTTTTAGCTTGTTAGACTCAGCAGTAACCCAACACACATTCTGTGGTCCCCAAGCCTGGGCTCTTGCCAACGTGCATCAAATACTTTCTGGAATTCGGTAAGCAGGAAGCGCCCCTCCAGGGAGAGAGCACCAATAATCTATCTCTGGAATTTCCATGTGTAGATAGGATGGATGGGATTCTCAGTTTGGTTTGGATACTCTTAAGCATTGTGATGGTTTTCCACATGTTTCACACCGGCTGATCCCCACAAAAATATTTAAAAAAAAACTCATTTAAAACCAATAGTCCAGTGTAGCAACAAAGAGACTTTTATGGACACGATTAATAAAATATCTGCTGTATGAATGGGGTAACATAAAGTGCTAATTATTTATACTATGCATGTAAGATATCAGGTAATAAAATCTTAATTTCTTTTATGTAATAAACTAATATATTAGCCAATATATTAGGTAATTTTGAACAAGAGCTAAAGACCAGATGTCCATCTTTGCAGTGAACTGCTTTTGTTTATGTGGGAGAAGAGTGCACCTCCTTTGAGATTGTTTTAAGTGGATGTTGACACTAATTTATTTTGAGTGAAAGTGTTTGGAATTTCAGATCTCTGGTTCCTTATTCCCTGAACAATTAACGATGAGATAAAATACCACAATATATTTCAGATCATTTAAATTATAAAATTATAATTTAACTTATAAAATTATAACAATTATAAAATTATAATTCAAATTAAAATGCTTTTTTTTAAGCCTTATCCTTTATTTTGTTTTTTTTTCAATGTTGGATTTTAAAAGCACCAAATCTGTTTGTCAAAGGCAATGAAGCTACTTGATGGTTCAATACACTGTGACACATCATGGCATATAGGGCTGCTCCCCCATTGAGACAACAATAAATTACATTTGTATAGCGCCTTTTACATAGGAGGACGTCCCAAGGCACAGGACAGTCAGGGATCCACACCCAAGCTGGTGGTTGGGATCAGGAGAGGTGGAAGGTGGGAAGGGTGGGGGTAGGAAGTTGACCCCAGAACAAGATCTGAATATCAGACATGCTAGGTGCTGAGTGAAGGTGAGGCATTTATAAAAAAGGGAGAAAGCGTCAGCCCCATGTCATGGAGGCATCTTTGGTAGAGACCAGAGTTGGTCACACCAAAGTTTTTGATAAGCATATTATCAATGATAGTTAAGGAAGGGCTGAACCACTGTGAGATGAGGAAGACAGGATGATAATAGAAAATAAGAGAGTAGCCAAAATGCTTAACAATCATTTTGCTTCAATATTAACAGGCAAACATAAAGGTGGGACTGGACGGATAACTAAGAAACAGCTATTAGATACAAAGATTCACAAATAAAAAGTATTAAAAAGATGAAAGGGATTTGAAGATACCAGACTGAGATGGAGTACACCCAGAATCTGAGGCAGTGCAATGTTCCAAACTGTTCCGGAAAAAAATGATCTGGTAACAAAATAGTATCAATTATAACCCTACTCTTCACCTAGCCCTTTTGCATTTTTTCCCAATTCTTCAATTATTTATGAACTAAGAGGTAAGGATAGTGAATACATAGAAAGACATTGTCTGATCAGGGATGGTCGACACAAACTTGTAAAGGGCAGGTTTCTGCTTAACCAATTTGTGTCAATTTATTTGAGGTATTTACCAAGCGTATGAATAAAGGCAAGACAATGGATGTTAATATACATGAACCCGAGATAATCTGGATTTTGAATTTGAATAATTTCTCATCAGATGGAATAGAAATCGTGAGCACATGAGCAAGATTAGCATGTAGGTTTCATTCCTGTGTACACGAATCTAACCGTATTCAATGTTTATTTACTATTCAATTCCACAATGCAATATAATTATAATTTCTAAAGGGAATTCAATTAACACCCATAAATTAGTTGCCTTCAATGTTAATACAGTATATCCAACTTTGATGCAAGCTAAAAAAACTTCATTATACATAACATTTCTACATTATGATTGTGAGGTAACTTTCAAATCCAAGCTTTTATTTTCTCGATTACTCTTTCCTTGTTATCTATCTTTGTTTATTCTGCAGTATTGGGCTCAGCCTGTCATATAGGTTCTATTGTGCTTGGAAGTAATATTGTTTATGGCAGCCAACATCTTTATTGTCTTAGCATAACAGTCAGCTTTACCACCTGCTAAATCGGCTCAATGGAATTTTCAAAAATATCAATTTAGAGTATCCGCCTACAGATCAAAATGCAGCAGAATAGAGTGGATTTGAACACTGATTTGGGAAGGAATGCAAATTTAAGCTTGATATGAATGGCACCTATAGAGGAAACCTTTGTAACACTGCCACAATGGTGCTTAATAGGAACAACTATTGGCTAATTTCCAGCGCTATCAAAGCATTGTACAACCTGTTTATACCTCATGTTTCCTATTAGTTTCATTTTGAACAAAATAATAAGTCAAGTCACATAAACCAATCTGTCCTTATTGTTAATTGGTAAATGCTTGTTGGTTGTCTGCATGATAAAAGATATACCATTATTCGATGAAGCAACATGTGTGGTATAAATTACACAAATAATGATGCTGGTTAAGATTTTCTCCAAGGATGCCATTTTTGTTCTTAACCAACCTTAAATAATAGCAAATGGATTTTTGATTTTATGTAGGTTGTGAATCATCAGCGATGAAACGCTGCCATTTAATAAATTAAGTGAATCTCAACTGACCAATAACATTTTGGGGTTTTCCAGCCTCTTATTGTATTTAACTTATTGTTAAAGTGAAATATCTATCTGCTTCTTTTAAGGTTTAGAACTTTAGAACCTCTAACATATTATAAATCTACAACCACAATGAACTCCCTTGTGCCATATTAACAGTTGTAGTGCTTAGCAGCTCCAGTTACTGTGGGCAGCACAGAAATTAAGTAACCCTTTCGTAGCTGATGAATCTTAGTTACATTTCATCAAATAACGTCTGTTCAAGTCTAGCAGAGTCAATAGTGAGCTGTCAGTTTCCAGAGTGTTGCTTGGATTGGTGCTAAACTTCGCCCCTAATTCCTAAATAAAGCTAGATAAAATTATCTCGAACTCTTAAATTGGCTAGGAATTTACATAGTTCTCTCTTTTTAAAAAGATGAGCGTTTGTTCTCTATTATAGAAGAGAAAGTAAATAATTAAAATAAGTAAACTATTTATAAGCGACACATAAGATTATGTTTTGGTAGGAATTCACAAAATTCTGAACAGATATTAGGAATGATGTAAAGTACAGAACTAGAATAAGATGCAATAAATGAATCTTGACGCTGAGTGAAGATACAACTGCATTATGGACATCAATGTAATGCATGCCTACAGGGTTAAGACTTGATAAAAGCGCATTTCACATATTTGATGCTCTGACAAATTGAATGACTTTATCCAGATGTTTCAAGTGAACACTGTATGTGTCATTAGCTATGAGAAAAGTACTTTTATCACAAAACAAATTATATCTTTTGAATTGTGTCTATGTCTCATAACTGTAACTCGAGAGTAACAGTAACAGTAAGACTCCATATGTAGAGAGTACCTGAATCAAAAGACCAATGCAGATCAATTCAAACAGTGGTTAACTGGGTGGCTCTGATAAATTCAACTTTAGATGCCTGAGTACTCATACCGTGGCTCAAGCAATCAGAAGCTGAGTTAGGAAAACAATTGAAAACATCAAGTAATTTGAATCAAAAACTCAACTGGAGAAATTTTTAAAAAAATGAATTTTCCCTTGCCCAGCTGTGCCCTTCTTATTTAGTTTTGTGGTGGTTAATTGCAGGAGTTCTAATGATGAGGACATCTAAAGAGGACATTACCTTAGCAAACATTTTGTGCTGTTGTATAGGTGGGGGGGGGGTAAAAAAAAAACAGCCTAAATTTCAGAACAGGCAGGGTGACAAGATTTGGTGTTAATAGATTGTTTTTTGTCCAGAACAAAAAATATTATCAACAAAAGGTGTGATCAGATGGATTATTTTGGAAACATGTCAAGATTTTTGAAAATTTACTTACAACAGTATGTTGTATAAAGTATTTAAATGCTTATATCTTACACTTATCATCAGCAATTGCAATGATGACTGGAAAACCCATTGCCTATACTAATTAGACTTTAGCAGGTATCTTTTGAAGTCAGGAGAAGCAGAGTCTCAGTGCATGTGCCAAAGGCTATTTTGAGGGCTTCTAAAAGAGAGCTGCAACAGACTCCAGTTCTGTTATTACTCAAGAAAACTGGGATTTCCCCATCGATCTTGGTGCTTGACCAAGAGAATCTAATTCTGTTGTCTTCAGAGAGAAGAAAATAGAGTGAACGTAGATCAAGGTTGAAACGTACAGAAGCTTTTTGATGTATAACAGAACTACTCACGTCCACTGTGAAAGATAATTGGGGACCAGTGGTATCTGTTGAATAATTATAACTTGTGGTATAATTGGCTGTAAATAACAGCAGTATTTTAATAAACAATCTGTTAGTCTAACATACACTAAAGTAGCAAAAAGCTTATTGTTCACCCAGGATCACAAATCGTTTGTTATATTCAAGGTGCACTTATGTCATTATAGACCGTACTATAGGGGAAACAGAAAATCCACTTAA